ATTTTCAAGTTTTGAACAATTCGACTTTCAAGATCTACATATCTACATGAGCCGGTTTCCATTTATCAACGTGAAATTTTAAGATCTGTGCAAGAACTCAGCTAATAGATGTTTCCGTATATAAAAGCTATCTTCGAGCTTTACTTTATCTTAATCCTGAGAAGGCTTTATCCCGAGTTTGAAACACTCTTCTTATCCTGAGAATACTTAATGCCAATATTACCTACAAATAATGTTGTTCAGGTTTAACCTACATTTAGTCCTGAGCAGGTTTTATTTATTTCAAGATCGAAACTTTATTATAATCCTGTGTATGCTTAATGCCAATAATACCTACACATAATACGAGTTTAATCTCGTGAATGGTGCCTATTCTTAAATCTGAGCAGGATTCATCCAGGGATATAAATATATTCTACTATTCTATATAATAAATGTCAAGATTGATAGCTACACATATATATAATACTCTACTGATTTGACCTCTGAATAGATACCTACTAATAATCCCGTACGGATTTAACCACTAGAATTATACTTGATCCTAATTCTGTGCAGGTCGACCTGCAGGATTGCTACTACTACTACTACTACTACACATTCTATCGAAATTTAATGCTAGGACTGAAAACTTCTAATCCCTTTTAAGCCTTATTGTAATATAATCCTATGTAGACTTAGCTTTGGTGCTGATCACATGAGATTCCCGGTTTCAACATTTTCTCGAATTTTCATTAAGTTTTATTAGTAATTGTTATTGTTTATGTCGACTTAAAAATAACACGTAAGTATAATGAATTACTAGTAGTGTTCACAGGAAAGTCTTTAGGTTTTATTACATTAACGGTCAGATCGATACGGTGGATTGAAAGCGTGATCGTTTTCTGAGGAAACATTGAAGGGGTCATAGAAAACCATATATTTTGAAACAATAAAATAGAAAATAAAATGAATTATTGATTGTTTACAATAGTGAGATTATTGCGTGATTTTGCTAGAACTTTCTGAGTTTCTCGTTGGTATAAGTGAGTATAATTGCATCAGTTTGTTTGTTTGTTTGTGATGAATTTCGCGCAAAGCTACACGGGGGCTATCTACGCTAGCCGTCCCTACTTTAGCAGTGTAAGACTAGACGGAGAACAGCTAGTCATCACCGCCCACCACCAACTCTTGGGCTACTCTTTTACCAGCGAATATTTGGATTGACCGTCACATTATAACGCCCTCACGGCTGAAAGGGCGAGCATGTTTGGTGTGACGGGGGGGATTCGAATCCGCGACCCGCAGATTGCGAGTCGAGCTCCCTAACCAACCACCTGGCCATGCTGGGCCTAAATTATCATGCCTTCGATGGAAAATTTATTATACATATATAGACAATAGACAGTTTAAATGGATAATATTGTTTCCTGCTCACTGTGGGTAAGATTGTTTTAGCAATGATATACACACGTGCATCATTGTAACATAG